ATGGCGGAGTGGGCTCCGGCGCAGGTGAGTGCGTGCGGGCGGGCGGGCGGGCTGCAGCAGCAGTGCCATGCATGCTTTGCTACCCTGCAGGAGCGCGGGGCTGTGCCCGCGGGCATCCCGTCCCCTTGACCCCTTGCCCGTGTCGCCCGCGCAGGTGCAGGAGTGGAACGTGGAGGCGCAGCATCTCATGGCCCTGCAGCCGCCCCTGCTGCCCGAGCGGGCGCACGTGCGGGAAGCACAGCTGCACACGGCCGAGGCGTCCCTCTGGACCGTGGTGGCCACCGTGCAGGCCCTGGAGAGGAAGATCGACGTGCTGGCCGCGCGCCTGCTGAGCCTGGAGGGGCGGTCGGGCACGGCCGAGAAGAAGATCGTGGACTGCGAGAAGACCGCCATGGAGTTCAACAACCAGCTGGAGAGCAAGTGGGCCGTGCTGGGCACCCTCATCCAGGAGTACGGGCTGCTGCAGCGGCGCCTGGAGAACATGGAGAACCTGCTCAAGAACAGGAACTTCTGGGTCCTGCGCCTGCCGCCCGGCGCCAAGGGCGAAGTGCCCAAGGTGAGCTTCGCTGTGCCTTGTGCGCTGGGGACTTTCGGGATAGCCCCGCCGCCATGGGTGCAGTGCGGGGGCGGGGGTGTCGCTCTGCCTCTGCGGGTGGATGGTGATGGCTGGAAAGCCCGGGGCACGGCAGTCTGCGTCTGCTCAGACTGGCTAGCAGGGAGCGCTGCTAAGTTCCCCCCGGCGCCCCGCTGCTGAGGGCACGTCCGTCTCTGGCCTGCTCGTTGCTTGGCTCGTCTGCCTCCGAGGGCCCACGTCCCTTGGTATATAGGCGCACTGGTTCCCTGGGTGTTGAATGAAGACTCCCCGCACACAGGGAGAGATTTCAAGGCTAGAGCTGCCGGTTGGGATCCCGTAGTCTGACCTCCGCGGGCGAGTACAACCGCCTGCTTGTGCTTGCAGATGCCCGTGACGTTTGTGGACATCGCTGTGTATTTCTCGGCGGAGGAGTGGAAGAACCTGGAGGAGTGGCAGAAGGAGCTGTATAACAACCTGGTGAAGGAGAACTACGAGTCCTTGATCTCGCTGGGTAAATGTCTGCTGCCTGGAGGAGCATCCGATCTCGTAGCCTCTGCTTGTGGCCCAGCTCTGAGCGGTGCCCTGTTTCCTCTGATTCCAGCTGGGCCGGTGCTTATACCCAAAAAACCCTCTTGGTCGGTGCTCATAACCCATAAAAGTTTGCAAGAAAGGGGTCAAGTCCTTGCAAGGTCAGAGGTCCCCCCTGGCCTTATGGCCCACCCTTTCCTGTAGCAGGGATGTGACTACCATCACATCCCGCAGAATGACCAGATACCCGTTTACAGCTGGGTCAGCTGAGCGCTGGCTTTGGCATGAGTCCAGAACGGGGCTCACACTTGTGTCCCTGGTGCCGTAGTGACATATCGTAGCTGGGCCCCTCAGACCCACGCCTCCTGCTTAAAAGGAGATACTTGCAAGTGCAAGAGTGGTTCAATCTTGTCCGTCTCCGGCATCTGCTGCTACCGGAGAGCGGACCAAATGCTGCCCTGGTGTCAGAGGAAGTCCCTGGAGTTGCCCTTGCTGACCTGGGACTTGATTAGCTGATACAATCGATGCCTATTTGCAGCCACGCTTGGTAAGAGCAACAGCCCCTTGCTGCTGGCATTTTCCCAGGGTGCATCTTTTTTCTACCTGGTAACAGCAACACAGCCCTTGCTTAAGGGCAACGCTTGCAGAGCAGGAGAGGCTGGACGGGGCTGTGTCCTCAGTTGGTGCTGTGTCATGTGTGGTGACAGGCATATCCCAACCTGTCCCCTGCACCTGCTTTCCTTGCCTGAAAACCCGCAGCCCGAGTGTTGAGCGTTCTCTGGCTTGCAGAATAGGGTGAGAGGACCTGACGCTGCCGGCTGCAGGGTGATTGGGACCAGGCTGCCGTGCGGTGGGACTTTCCTAGCAGGGCCGTACACAAAGAGAAGCAGCAGGAAAAGCCTTGGGCCGACCGCAAACACCTGCCAGGGGGTTATAACACACTTAGGTGTGGAGTGTGACTCATTCAGGGGGGCACAGCTGTGGGAGCATTTAACCTTTGAACGTGAAAAGAAAACTCAGCATTTCTGCAGTGTGCAGCCGACCGCTCTTTGTTTAGCTGTTTCACTCGGCAGGAAAACAGGTTGGACAGATGATGTCTGCTGCACCAGCAACAGCCGCTTAGCAGCGGCCTGGCACCAGGTCCTCAGTGTTGCTAGGAAGGGGGGTCGACTGTGTTTTCTTGATTCGCTTCCCGCATTTCCCTGCATGGTGGTAATGTAAAATCATCTTCCTGGCTGGGGGCAGGCGATACAGGCGGGGGCCTTTTCTCTGCCCTTGGTTGGCAGTTTTATAGTCAGGCAGAGGGCTTAGCATTGTGTGCGAACGCCTTTCCTGATGCAGATCCCTGCATGTTGGGCACGGAGCGCAGTTCACCTCCCGTCTCAGCCTGTCTCTCTTGCTGCCGAGTTCCCCCATCAGCTCCAGCGACAGGGGCGATGGTTGTAAGGAACGGAAAGCTCCATAACTCTTGTGCATTGTGAAATGAAGCCTCGTGTCCCCCCAATGTCTCCTCTCTGAACAGGCAGCTCCCTTTCCAAAGCCGATGCGCAGCTGAGGCCGGAGCGAGGGGTGGAGCCGTGCATCCCACAGCAGCCGGAGCTGGAGCAGAGACCCATCCCTGTGGACCATTGTCCAGGTAGGGGGTGGGGGTGGTTGGGACAGCTCAGAGGAGGGGGCTGTGGTTTGTCTGCTGGGGGCCTTTGCTTTGGGAGCTGGTCTTCCAGGTGGTCTCTCTCATGGTTGGCTGCCAGTCCTGGCTGCTTCTGGCTCCAGTCCCCATGCCCTCCAGTCCCCATGCCCTCCAGTTTCTTAAACATGCTGGTGTTCTGGGCTCCCTGGTTTTCCTGGTTACTCATCTCTGCCTCTTACACTTGGTCTCTGGTGGTGATCATGCTTTGGGGCTAGATTACCTCCCCTGAGCCTTTGTTTCTGCTCCTGTCCTCTCCCAAGGAGTCAGTACAGTATTCCCCAGCTGTTGGGGGCTGAGGGTGAGAGTCAGGACTCCTGGGTTCTTCTTCTGCTTTTGTCGCTGACTGTTTGGTCATGGGGGAGTCACTTGTGGCCATAGTCCCAAAAGCATCCTTTGATTTTTGTGCATCCCATGGGAAAAGTGAGAGGTGCTCAGTGCTTGCAGCTCCCATTGGCTTTACCTGGGGTTTGGGTTTCCAGCCTTCATGATTCAGACATCTAACATGGGGCAGCTGGGCTGAAAAGAAAGTATAGCCTGAAGCTGCAGTGTCTTGTCCCCTTCTGCAAATAACTCTTCCACAGGAGGATGTGTTAGGCTGCTGAACGAGTATTTTGAGTGTGATCGGGCAGTGCTAACGTTCCAGCCAGCCACCATGAAACTGAGAGCAGAAGGGAGCAGTTCCCTGTCACTTATTCATTTGCTTTTTGGGGGCCTCCTAGAATCAAAGTGGGTGTTTAGGAAGGACTTGAGCCTGGAGAACGTGGGAGCATACTGACCTGAGGGGGGTGAGTGAGAGTGAGATGTGGATCTTCCCAGGGACCCAGTTCACTGATCTTCCCGAGCGTAGCAAGACGTTTTCAGGGATGCCACGTTGCTGGGCTGATCTCCCTGTTTCTCCCTCCAAGCTGCGCTGGCCTGTTTGGATCTACGTGCAGCTTGCCTCTTCCGCGGTGTGGGGACAGCGTTGCTGCGAGGTTGGGGTTCTGTGTTCAGGCGCTATGCGAGTGTGCTCTAATTCTCTCCTCCTGAACAGACCCCCTGGTCTCCACACCTGATATCCTATCGCGGATCAAACAGGAGGCGGCCTTTGTTGCGGAGCATCAGTTCCCAGAGGACAGAGGACTCCCCCCTGACCCCTGTGCAGGTGAGTCCCAGGCGGTGGAGCAAAGGCTCCCTGAGCTCTGGTACCTCTGTAGCTTTCTTATCTCTCTCAGGGCTCATATTCTGCTTCTGACTTGCTACATTAACCACAGCAAGTCTAATTTCCCACAGCAACTCCTCGTTTGCGAGGTCTCCGTTCCCCCCCAGGCTCAGTTGCTATCCCTTCTTTGTCTGAGAGTCCCTGCCAGCCAGGGCCCAGCCCAACTCCTTGATAACCCATTTCCATCCATGTCTGACTCCCTCAGCCCTAGGTGCTTTCCCTGGACTCGAGATGGGCGTCTCAAGCACTAGACCAGGGGTGGGCAAAATGCGGCCTGGGGGCCAGATACGGCCTGCCAGGCCATTCGATCCGGCCCGTGGGGCCCCTAAAAAATTTAGAAAATTAATATTTATCTGCCCTGGGCTGCCTGTCATGTGGCCCTCGATGGCTTGCCAAAACTCAGTAAGTGGCCCTCTGCCCAAAATAATTGCCCGCCCTTGCACTAGATGCTTTCTAACCCCTGTCCATCTCACTTCTCTCCACCAGGAGCTGATGCTCTGATTTCTGCGCACGACTTCTTATCCTGGATCAAGCAAGAGGAGGAGCCATGTGTCAGGGAGCCGTGGGAGCTGGCTGAGCGAGAGATCCTGGCGGGTCCCGTCCCAGGTGAGCAGTGGCTTTGCTCATTGGAAGCAATGAGCAAAGCAGAAGGGCCAGCTGCTGGGAACCATCCCGGGTTTGTCCCAACTGCGGGCAATGCCAATTCATTGATGTCTAAGGCCAGGAGGGACCGCTGTGGTCTTCTGGCCTGGCCACCAGCACAGCGCTGACCAGAGCATTGTACTCCGATGCCTGCAGAAGCTTCCCAGCAGATCTGGTTGTGAGCAATGCAGCCATAATTCGCACCCCATTTGCTGAGTCTTCAGTTGAAGGAGAATCCCCACTGGAGGGTTTTGCTGGCATACCAGGGTTGGTTAGGAGCCTGAAAGCCATCCTGCCGCAGCTGACACAGCTGTGCTGCCCCAGTGCACGGTGTCCAGGAACTGGTACAAGTGATGCACAAGGGAATTCAGCCTTCTCCTGCAAGCTACATGAGGGCCATTGGGTAGAGCCCAGGGCAGGGCTGAGAGTGCCCCCCCTGCCTGGCTGAAATCTTGGTGCTTTTTGTTGTGGAGAAGAGGCAAATGCACTTTCCTTTCTGGCCACCTGCTGCAATCGCTGTCTGACACGGCGCTGAATTCGTCTGCTCCCTCCTCTCGGAGTCTCCCCCATATAATCCCCGACCTGCCCACACCCACTTGACTCCGTGCGCGGTGAAACTTTGCAAAAAGGCTGCCCCCAGCTAGAATTCTTCGGCCAGCCGTGAGGTTTTGCTTTCAACTGGGAATTGGTTAGTGTGCTTGGCTGTGAGAACGCGCCCTGTTCTGAGCTAGCTGCGTGCATAGCTTGGTCTTTCCAGTGGCTGTTAGTTCTTTGTATTGCCGTAGCCTCTGGAGGAGCCTGGCACAGTGTGGGGCCCTGCCTTCCTCGGTGCTGTACAGGGTGAGAGAGGCTCATCCGAATAGCTGAGACAGACAAAGGTTTGTTATCATCCCCATTTCATAGTTTAGGAACTGGATGTTGGACAGATGAAGAGACTGAGCCAGGATCCCACAGGCGGTCTGTAGCAGAGTTGGGAATGCAGTCTAGATCCTCCCGAGTCCCACTTCGCAGCCGTAACTCAAATCCCTGTCTCCTTAGGTTATAGGGATTTGCTTGGAGAGGGAACTTGTGCAGAATCTTAGCCTCAGAGAGGAATCTTTTTATTCTCCATTGCTTTATTTTTGCATGACAAATGGTAGTCACTTTGTTTAAGACCTGCCTGGGAAGGGCTCAGGTATGGGACACACGGCCTTTTTACACTGTTTTGTACACTGACCTAAATTAAACTGGAATCCAAGGTGGACGGACAGTCAGTTACTCTCGGGGTAGCTGCTGCAGAGGTGTTAGTACAGGCCTCGAGGCAGCAGGGAACAGATAACACCCTGAGCAAGCAGCTCCTCTGGGCATCTGTGGGCTCGTGACATCTACCCCAGCATAGGTCTGTTGCTGTGCTTTTCCCAGGGTAACTCTACTAAGCAACACCAGCATGGAGCAATATGTCAGGATCATAAGAAAGCAGGGCTGGAAAGGACCTCCTCTAGTTCAGCCGCCTGCTCATGGCAGGGTCATCCTTGACTAAACCGTCCCAGCCAACTGTTTGTCTAAACTGCTTTAAAAAACATCCAGGGATGGAGACTCCACACCTTGAGCAGCCTGTCCCAGCGCTAAACCAGCTTGAAGAGGGAAAGTTCTTCTTACAAAGTGTTGCGTTTCAATCCTTCTTTACACTGGTGTAAACATTTGTGCGTCCAGACCCTCAGATACCGCAACGTTAAGGGTGGGAGGAGAATCCACACAGCATCGGGTGGAATTGTGGCAAAAGATGCTTGTGCGAAGGATGATCACAAGGGGGTTGAGACTACGCTGTTCTCTTCCTCCCACCTTGCCAGATGTTGTGGGGAGGTATACTGTAGACATTAGAAACCGGAAATCAAAACTCTTGGTTAATTTTTAAGGCCAGAAGAGCATCTGGACTGACCTGTTACAGAACCAGCTGTTACCTTTCAGCTGTGCTAAGGTGGATTTTTGTGTTTGGCTAAAACTGACCTTCCAAAAAGGGGTCCGGTCTAGATTTGACGACCTCAAGATCACCCTCACTTCCCTTTCCAGGTTTCTGGCTGCCTTGCAATGGCAGGGTTGGGCCAGTCACTTGGCCTGGCCCATGAAAGGGAGTGAAAGGCGTCCTCAGAAAGGTTATGCAGCTTGTGTTTATGCTGCGTGCAGAGATCCCTGACTGGACCGTGCGCAGGCAGGGGAGATCACAGTTCTCAAGCATCTGAATGGCTCCTTTGCCCTGAGGATGTGTGGCATCCTGTCCTGCCCGGAGGACAAAGTGCAAAGTATTCTGCGACGGGTCTTGCCCTGTCCGGAAAGCCACATTTCCAGCCTGTCTTGTGTCAGGGATGCTTTGGTGGGCAGTGACCTGGGAGGAGGTGTCAGGGCTAGCAACAGCCCCCATGGGCTGCAGGGGATGAACGCGGGGCTCCGGCCCTGCCTTGGCCTTTCCCCAGCCGTACCACTGCGACTCTGCTTCGTGGGACCCTGCTGTGGACTGGGACTGCCTCGGCCACTCCTGCAGCAGGGAGCTGGGGCTGAGAGTCTCTCTCTTTCTTCCGGCAGGCAACGGGCTCATGGTGAAGGCAGAGGAGATGCGTCACCGCCAGGAGGCCCCGTGCGACCTGGGGCTGCCGCCGGGGACCTGTGGAGATGCCCTGTTCCCCGGCTCAGCCTACGCCAGCCAGGAGGCCTCGGGCTTGCCACCGGCTCCTCCTGCCGAATGCAGACTGGGTAAATCTCTCCCCTCGGCCAGTGGGACAAGCGAGTTCCCAGGCACCCCCGCTGCTCGGGGCACAGGCGCGGCAGGGGTGGAGCGGCCGCACAGCTGCAACGAGTGCGGGAAGACCTTTAGCGTGAAGAAGAGCCTGCGCATCCACCAGCGGAGCCACGCCAAGGAGCGCCCCTACGAGTGCACGGAGTGCGGCAGGAGCTTCAATTGCCACTCGGGGCTGGTGCGGCACCAGATGATCCACCGCGGCGAGAGGCCCTACCAGTGCGGGGACTGCGGCAAGCGCTACAGCCGCAAGGAGCACCTGCAGAACCACCAGCGCCTGCACACGGGCGAGCGCCCCTTCCAGTGCGCCGCCTGCGGCAAGAGCTTCATCCGCAAGCAGAACCTCCTCAAGCACCAGCGCATCCACACGGGTGAGAGGCCGTATCAGTGCGGGGACTGTGGCCGCAGCTTCCGCTACAAGGAGTCCCTGAAGGACCATCGGCGGGTGCACGGCGCCGAGCCGGGGCCGCCCCGCAGTCTCCCGCAGGCCCTGGGCAGTGGGGACTAGGCCCCCGGGGCTTCTCGGACTGGGGACTCGGCCGTGCGTTCAAAGGGAGCTCCCGGCGCCGGCAACGAAGCTCGTACCAAATACTCCCGCGAGGCTGCCAGGGCATTGGGACCATCCTCGGTGGGACTCAGTGCGTGGGCTGAACCCCGCTCCGGGCTCCTCCTGTGCACACAGAAGAGCGGGCCCATGCCTGGGCTCCCCACTCCCATCCTGGGCTAGGCTGTGATGTCCAGCTCTGTTTTTAAAGCCTCCCCCCGGACGCACTCCTGGGCTTTGGCCTCCTTTCTGGCCCCTGCTGCTTTCCTTTCCTTGCAGACAATCTCGTCACGGGGGCAGGAGAGTACTCTCCTCCGCAGCCCCTGCTGCCCAGAACAGCCTCTCCCCCTGCATTTTATCGCCTTTGGAAAGCCGATGGATACTCTTTCATGGGTGACCCCTCGTTTCACACCCTCTCTGGCTGTTATTTTTACGCTCTGGTTCCCTCCCCGTGCAGTTACGCTCTGTAAGGTGTTTGGAGGTGTAGTTTTGTATGGAAGACGCAACGCAAAATAAAGTTGTCTTGGGCTGCACTGGTGTTGGGTGGTTCCTGCAGTGAGACCTGTGGCCCCGGGCTGGGAGTCCTGCAGGAGACCACTGCCAGCAGCGCGGCTGTCTGCTGCCTTTCGGGAAGGTGTAAATGAGAATCAGGCCCCCTTCCTCAGTCGTCACTTCGCCCTCCTCGTGGGCTTACTTCTGTCTCGGTGCACAGCCACCATGTCGCGCGGGGTGTGCGCATCTTCTGTCTGGCAGCAGCTTAGGGTGCTACATGTCAGAAGTGTCAGCTATCTTCATCCTTAATGCAAGCCCTGGGCAGCTCTGCCTGTAGGAGGGAGTTTTCCTGCACCGTTAGCAGCAGCCAGAGATGGCCTGACACAGGCCTTGCCTTTGCAAGTGGGTTGCTTCTGTTGAATCAGGTCCTCCACAGTTGTGCACCAGGGCAGGGGACCAGGGATTGTGTGGTGGCCCCGTGCCTTTCAAGGCTGCTCACCACCCCTCGTTCACCCACTGAGCAGCCTAACAGGCTTTGTGGAAAGAACAGCCCTGTGCTTCTCCATCCCTCCTGCTCACAGCAGTATTTCCCCTTCCCCTTTTGTGATTAAGCCTGCGGCACTGAGCAACCCCTTGTACTTAGGCCCTCTGTTCGGGGGTGAGCTGCACCCGCAGAGAGGCAGCAACACGAGGGAGTTAGCTGGGGAAAAGCTGCAGCCTAGCAGAAGCAGGGAGCCCTGAGCGTGCTTGGGCGGTGGGGCTGTGGGCTTGCAGATGAGAAGCGTTAGCCCTAACAGCCCCTCTCCATCACTGCCAGCACAGGACTCTCAGCATCTCAGAACCGGCTTAAATGCTGCCTTTGTGTTTAGGACCTTGCTGTGGTCTGTGCTGAGTTGCACTGCCCGTGCTGTTACCTGGCTGCTTTGGCCTCTAGTACACCGCATTAAGCTCCCCTCATTTGGAGTCCTTGCTAAAGCCCTTCCAGCTATCCTAGTCGTGCAGCTTTCCTTTTTGCCTGGCGCTTGGCTTTGAAATCCCTTCTCCGTGGCGGGTGCTCAGTGGCCGCTCGGCGATTGTAACCTGCCCCTGTGATGTCCTTTTCCATGAACAGATGGTGCCATCCCCAAGCCTTGTCTCCTGCCCTGGACGGAAAGCAGGGAAGAGCCGCGTGTCGGGGACCGGGGGGGCTTAGCAGAGAGAGAGACAGAGAACACTGCACGACCCAGAACAGGTCAGTAATTGCTTCACCAGCTTCGATTCAGGGAGAGCGTTAGCCCAGAGGAGGAGGGTGGTGCAGTCATTAAGGCATCAGGCTGGGACTCCAGAGACCCAAGTTTGTTGCTGACTCTGCCACAGACTCCCTGTGTGACCCCAGGCAAGTCCCTTAGTCTCGTACTGCATTTGTCTGTGAATCCTTGGCCTTCCTTACTGCTTACCTTGCACGGCGAGGGTGCCTGTGAGGAGTCAGGCAGGCAAGGCTGCCCCATTACAGGCTGCTGCTTAGGACTGCCAGTAATGAACTCTCCACGCTCTGACCTTCCCACCTGACGTTGGTGCTGCACTGCGGGGCTCGGTGCGTGTCTACGTGGACCAGCTGGCAAGACGAAGGCTGCGGGGCTTGGAGCTGCTGCTGCTTTCATAGTCTCCGTGGGGAGCTTTGCAATGTCGTTTTCTCTCCCACGACCAGACCCTCTGATTTCCATAGCTGGCGTCCCGTCCCAGAGAGAGCCAGGGGAGGAGGAACGTGCCGGGAATCCACAGCACCCGCAGGAACGGGATGTGTCGGCTCTTGGTGCCGGTGAGTGACGGCTGGGTGGCAGTCGTGGGGAGAGTTGGGTTCCAGGTTTGGTTCTGCCACAGACTGATCCGCGTGGCCCCAGGCACGTGGCGTCATAGATGAATGTTCTTCTGTGTCGCTTGTGGGCCAGCCTCTGGGGTACATCTGTGCTGCTGGGACGGGGGCTCATGCGCTTGCAGCTTGAGGGGGCGTCCCGGGAAGCTGCGTTGGGACTCGGGCAGCCGGCTCGCTCTGTGCTGCTGCGGCTAGGCTGTCACCAGCCCCAGAGTCGGCTGCCTGGGGTATTTCTGTGCTGCGCGGCCCTCACTGTCACGAGAACGGGCCCTTGGTCTCTGCGTGCCGTGGCTTGTTGTCTGGGAAGTGGGGGTTGCTAGAGGGTCGTATTGCCATGTTGCTTCTGCCAGCTGAGCTCACTGCACCTTTCCAGGGCTCCCCCATTTCACCCTCACCTCCCTATGCCAAGGGTCCTTGAAGGGACCCTCCATCACTTCTCACTCCTTCATCATGCTTCTCTGCACTCTTGCCCTCTGCTTGTCCAGACCTGGCCTCTGCCATCCTTTCCCCCTTCTCCAGCCCCGCGCTCCCCTCCCTTCACACCTGCATTTTGATGTCTGTTTTTGGCCCTGCAAACTACAGGGAGCATGGGGCGAGCTAAGGCGCGGGGGCTGCCGTGCAGAGAGGTGTTAATAGGGCCTGCCGCCTGGCCCGTTACCCATTTTAGACCCGCTTGCATTGGCTGACTGCCGACTGCTCGTCTTCCCTCTTCCTCCTTTTTGGTTTTTGTTTCTTTCCTCATTTCCCCCCCCAAATCTTTGAGGGTCTGCCAGGAGTCTGGGAACCGGCAGGGCACGGTTGGGTGAGACGGAGCCGGGCCCCTGAGTTGAGGTGTGACCCCGACCCTGTGCATGGCCAGTTGCGTGATCCCCTTCCTCAGCTTCGTCTGTGGTTGTGGAGGCTGTCTCTGCCCCCTGGCACGGCGGAGCTCTTGGGTGCAGGGATGTGTCTTTGGGTTGGCGCAGCACCCAGCGCGGTGGGGTCCTGGTCTGGTCCACGACCCGTGGACGCTCGTGTAACGTGAACCGGTGCTTGGCTGCACTAGGAGGGAGGACCGCTGTGTCTGTGTCTCCCGTTCCCACGATGGCACCCGCTCCCTGCTGAAGCCTTCGCTGTTGAGAAACGGCCCCCCGGCCGAGAGCGAGTGAGCGAGTCTGCGTGCGAGGTCCTTTCGCCTGGTGTGACGGGGGTCTGGATTCTCTCTCTGTTCCAGGAGGCCTGGAGGTCGTGGTCAAAGTCGAGGAGCAGAGTCCTGACGAGCGTCCGGCAGGCAACGAGCAGGCTGGGGTGCCGTCTGGAGAGACGGCTTCCCGCAGCCTGCAGGGCAGAGAGGCCGGTGATCGCCTGGCGCCCGACGATCGAGGCGAATCCCTTCAGCGTCCGGTCCTACCCCCACAGCCAGCAGACCCGAAAATCTCGCGGGGGGCTGAGCTGGGGCCTATGGGCACCTCGTGGAGCTGCGGCGATGCGGGGGAGCCACGTCCTTCTGCTCTGGCGGCGTCAACGCCCCCAGCTGGGAAGCCGCCGGCTTGCACCCAGTGCGGCAAGTCCACGCCGCTCCTGCACCAGAGCCCCCACGGCCCGGCGAAGCCCCACCAGTGCTCCCAGTGCAGCCAGAGCTTCCACCACCCGTCCCGGCTCAACTCGCACTCCCGCGCCCACAGCGGGGAGCGCCCCTACACCTGCGCCCAGTGCGGCAAGGGCTATGGGCGGAAGGAGCACCTGCAGAACCACCAGCGCCTGCACACGGGCGAGCGCCCCTTCCCGTGCGGCCAGTGCGGCAAGCGCTACAGCCGCAAGGAGTATCTGCAGAACCACCAGCGCCTGCACACGGGCGAGCGCCCCTACGTGTGCCCCGCGTGTGGCAAGAGCTTCATCTGCAAGCAGAGCCTCCTCAAGCACCAGCGCGTGCAGTGCGGCGAGCGCCCCTACCAGTGCGGGGACTGCGGCCGCTGCTTCCGCTACAAGGAGTCCCTCAAGGAGCACCAGCGGGAGCATGGCGCTCAGCCGCGGGAGCGCGGCACTCAGCCGCGGCAGGCGCCGGCCCGGGCAGCCGGCGCCCAGCCCGGGGCAGGGGTCGGAGGCTGAAGTGGTGCGCGTGAAAGTGGAGCCGGAGGATGAATGACGATGGCAGCCCGCTCCGTGTCTCTCCTCCTCCCGTGCCGCTCTTTCCTCCTCGATTTCGGGGTGTGTGGGAGGCCGGACAGATGCAATAAAGCCGTGTTCAGTTCTGCCGGGCTGAGGGTTTTCTTCGCGGCTGCCCTCGTGGGGCGCTCGGTGCGAGGCCAGGGCGTGATGCTGCTGCCTGCGCCGGCAGCCATTTTGTTTCTGTGGCTGCTCCTGCTCTGCCCTCCCACTGCTTGACGGGCTGGCCGCCATTTTGTTTCTGTCGCTGCTTCTACTTCTGTCTTTCCACTGATGAGGGACCAGCCGCCATTTTGTTTCTGTGGCTTCTCCGACTCTGTGTTTCCCCTGAGGAGGGGCTGGTTGCCATTTTGTTTCTGTGGCTTCTTCTACTCCGTCATTCCCCTGGTGGAGGGTCTAGCGGCCATTTTGTCTCTGTGGCTTCTACTCTGTCCTCCCACTGGTTGAGGGACCAGCCGCCATTTTGTCTCTGTGGCTTCTTCTACTCTGTCATTCCCCTGGTGGAGGGTCTAGCGGCCATTTTGTCTCTGTGGCTTCTACTCTGTCCTCCCACTGGTTGAGGGACCAGCCGCCATTTTGTCTCTGTGGCTTCTTCTACTCTGGCATTCCCCTGGTGCAGGGTCTAGCGGCCATTTGGTCTCTGTGGTTTCTCCTACTCTGTCCTCCCACTGCTTGAGGCCGTGGCCGCCATTTTGTCTCTGTGGCTTCTTCTACTCCGTCATTCCCATGGTGGAGGGTCTAGCAGCCATTTTGTCTCCGTGGCTCTTCCTACTCAGCCATTCCCGTGGTGGAGGGACCAGCTGCCATTTTGTCTCCGTGGCTTTGCCCATGGGTGGGCGGGTGGAGGTTTTGGGGCTGGCCACCATTGTACCCATGGGGCTTCGGGCTTGGGCACGCGCCACAGGGGCTCGGCTTCAGGGAGCTGATCCCTGCGGGTAGCTGGCCCACGTGGGTTTTGTGGCGGGAGAGCAGCTGGTGGGAGAGCAGCTAAAATCATCCATTTTGGGGTTTAAACCCCAGGGGCTTGATTTGCAGGGGTGGTCAGCACCCACAACCCCTGCACTCTTGCATGCACCCCAGGCGAGCGCATAAGTTGCACTTGAATTAACGACCGGCGCCAACAGGGTTGTGTTTGACCTGATGGATGCAATTATTGCCTCCCTCCGGTGTGGATCGGGCTGCGGTCAGGCAGCTCCTAGCGCTCCTGCACCATCGACTGGTGGCTCGGACGTCTCTACTGTCGCTCGTCCCGCACCACAGGCTGCAAAAAATAGGATTGTTTAGTCTGGAAAACAGAAAAGACGGTGGGGAGGTTTGATAGCCGCCTTCAAATACCCGGAAGGTGTCAATCTGGGCCCGGAGTACAGATGATGTCTTTTATTAGACCAACGAGTTTTTTTGCAAAAAAAATTCTTTTAATTGCAAACTTTCGGGCACAAACACCCTTCCTCAGGCATCGGGGAAAAGATTGTAAAAGTTGTCCTGGGTAGAAATGACAGTTCGTATTTCCTAGGAGTTCACAGAGGAGTCCGTAGATGGAAAACTGCTCCGGGCAGGCGGTTCATAGCTGGTCTGGAGCCTCTCGCCTCCTGAAAGGCAGTGTCTGACCCTGCTGCCTGGGGAGAGCTGCTGGTGACAAAGCCCCTTCCCCGTTCTCCACGCTCTGTCCCGCGGCTGCTGCTTCTGGTGCGTGGGAAGCAATGCATGATCAGGATGGTCTGTCTCTTCCCAGGCTCAGCCCGTGGATGTAGTGGGCCTGTGTGTGTCCTCATGTGGACTCAGAGGTAAGAGTGGGAGGGGAAAGTGCTGCCCACCCCAATAATTTCACCCTGGCGAGAGTACACCAACCAACAGCCCTCCCAACATAGACACGTCGATGTGCCTTCTGCCCGCCGTGGCTCTTCTGGTGACTCCGGATCCAACTCAGGGATGTAGGAGCTGATGGGTCTTCTCCCCATGTGCATTTGCATGTACCTTGCTGGGAAAGCCGGTCTCGTGCTCAGTGCCAGGAAGGGGTTTTTCCCCAGGGAGTGCTTTTGGTGCAGGTGCAGTTGTCCCAATTTGCACCTCTTGCTATGCACCTCGGTGCAGGTGCAGTTGTCCCAATTTGCACCTCTTGTTACGCCCCTCGGTGCAGGTGCAGTTGTCCCAATTTGCACCTCTTGTTACGCCCCTCGGTGCAGGTGCAGTTGTCCCAATTTGCACCTCTTGGGTGGGTTCCTTGGGGAGCAGCTGGGAGAAGCCTTTTTTCTCAGTCGTGGTTCTGGCGCTGCGTTTCTTGCCTGGTTTCTGTGCTGCTTCTCATTTGTAAGCCAAGGAAATACAGTCTAGATCAGTAGTTCTTAACCTTTTTTAGACTCAAGGCATGCCTCCTTAGACCGCAGATCCCCCTTGGAAAATGTCAGATCTTAGCTTTCACTCCTATTTTGAGTATGGAAAAATACTTGAGCAATATTGTGTTGCAAAGAACTCAGCAAGCCCGCAGCAGGGCAGAGTGTTTGTGACGCTCTGGATTCCTATTGGAAATCTCTGGGTTTATTGTGTGAATCCCGTGTTGGTGTTTGCACACCTAACGGCTAATATTGCACAGCATCTCACGGATCCTTAAAAGGATCTTGCAGTGAACCAGGGTGCCATGGGAATCACCAGTCTAGATCAGCAGCCAGAAACCTTTTCAAGCCGCAGGGCAGAACAGCATGGCTGCAGTCCAACATGGGCTGGGTGCCTTCTGCAGTGTAGCAGACAAAAGTACCAAGGTGGATACACAACTGGTTGGATCATTGTGCTCAATGAATAGTCATTAATGTCTCATTGTCTAGTTGGGAAGACATATCAAAGGGAGTTCCCCAAGGGTGCATCCTGGGTCCATTATTGTTTAATATCTTCATTAGTAATTTGGAGGATGGGATCGAGCGTGTACTTAGCCAATTTGCAGATGACCTGCAACTAGGTGGAGTTGCAGACACTCTGGAGGGCAGGGCTGGGATTCGGAATGACCTTGATAAACACATGGTCATAAATGGTTCAAAATCATAAACTACATAAATGGTTCAAAATCAAACGATGAGATTTAGCAAGAAGAGGTGCAAAATCCTGCACATAGGATGGAACAATTGTATGCACAAATGCAGACTGGGGAACGACTGGCTCGGCTGCAGGACTGCAGGGAAGGACGGGGGGTTACAGTGGGACCATAAGCTGAATATGAGCCAACAGCGTGCTCTTGTTGCAAAAAAACCCCAACAGCATCCTGGACTCTATAAATAGGAGTGTCACTTGCAAGTCAAGGGAAGTGATTTTTCCACTCGATTCAGCAGTGGTGAGGCCTTCCCTGGAGTATGGTGTCCAGTTTTGGGCCCCGCACTTCAAGAAAGATGTGGACAGAGTCCAGGGGAGAGCAATAAAAATGATTCGAGGCTTGGGAAACGAGACTTATGAGGACAGGCTGAAAAAAATTGCATTATTTAGTCTGGAAAAAGAAAAGACCGTGGGGAGATTTGATAACAGTCTTCGAATACCTGAAAGGTAGTTCTATAGAGAATGGAGATAGATTACTTTCTATCTCTGCAGGGGACAAGACAAGGAACAATTGTCTGAAACCGAAGAGGTGGAAATCTAGGTTGGAGATTAGGAAAGACATCCTCACTGCGGATGGTGCAGGACTGGAACAGGCTGCCCAGAGAGGCTGTGGAGTCTCCATCCTGTAAAGGGTTTAGGAGCAGGGATGGTTAGCCTGGGATGGTTTAGACAGGGCTGATCCTGTCTTGAGGAAGGGGCAGGACTAGATGTGATCTCCTAAGGGCCCTGCCAGCCTGACGTTGCTGTTATTCCATGATTTGTCCTCATGCTGGGAGGCTGCCGCTGTCGGGAACGCCGGACAGACGCCTCTTGGGACCTTCTCACGGCACCTCGAGGGGGGCCAAGGATGCCTCTCTGTCCCTTTGCTGTGTGTGTGTGTTATCTGCTGGGGTGAAGAAAGGCCAGACGTTATCCTGTATCTGGAAGGCCGGGGGAGGAAATGCAAAGCCCAAGCAGTTTGGGAATCGAAGGCAATCCTCATCTGATTCCCATTAGCTGGGAGCTAATGGGGCTGTTCCTGTGGGGATCCATGAACCTAGAAGCTTTTGCCTGTTGGTGCTTTCTCCTGTGCATCAGTGAGCACCATCCCTCCGGTGTGGTAGAAGCATCCTTTCAAGCATGCCAATGCACATGGGCTATCGGGAGTGGACCTGAGGAAATGACCATGGGGAGATTTTGTCTTTGTCCCCAATGGGAGTCACTTCTGCATGAGCACAGAGGGCAGCTCACCTGCCGGCTCACGGGAGCATCTTTTTCTGGAGTCCTTATGCTTCCCTTTGCTCAGCCCTTCCCTGTGGGCATCCGGGATAACTCCTGGGCCTGGTAGCAGGACGTCCTGATCAGAGGAGGGAGCATGACACAATAATCCCAGAGCTTTATCAAGGTCTTGTTGCAACAGGTGCGGCATGAAGCACTGCCAGCCCCAGGCACTGCTGAGATTGTGAGAGCGGGGACCAGCGCAGGGAGGATACGGTAGGTCCTAATCCTCCCGAAGGGAACCTGGTCTTTCGACACAGCCCTCCGCAGTCGGTACAGATCCTAGTCTACCTGCCAGGTGTCTGAGCGTGATCCTATCCCACCCTGCTCGAGTTCCTTGAAAGCCATAAACAGTGGATGAGTTGTTCTCCTCGCTGCTCCTTGTAACTTAGCCTCGTGGCTCAGATTACAGCGTGTTACAAAAATGGATGCATTAACGTGTTTTCAAGGACTTGAGCAGGGTGGAATAGGACCCGACTTGGGTTCCTAAGCCCACAGGCGAACAGCTGGCCTGGTATTTCCCAAACCGGGTGCTGGATTTAGGAGCTGCTGGAATTGGGTTGGAAACTTCGTAATGTTTGAAATTCCGGTAAAAATATTTCAGAGGG